TGTTCACTTTTAAATTGATGGACGTATTCTTCAATTTCCTGAGCAAACACTCTTTCACTGTCTAACTTTTGTTTGAGGTTATCAGTTTTTTCAACAGCCTTATAGAATGACTCTTTCAGCAAAATTGCAATTTTAGCCAGCTTTTCATAACTTGACTTTGTGATTTCTGTAGAGGTCACACTTTCTGCAACCTCCTTCAGATTGTCCACTAACTCTTTTGGGTTCATGCGCTCTGTCTGAATCATATATGGATGTAAGGACGCTGCCAGTAGCGCGAACGCATTTTCCAAGCAGTCCGCCATTCCTTTTGGATCAAAATCTTTTTCTAACACACCTGTCATGTTTTCACTGTGTAGCAGTTTATCTGTTTGAACAGTTGCAAGCTTTAGATATTTTACAGGTAAATATTTGTATTCAAGTCAATGAGTTTTCACACTTATTTTAGCTTTGGGTTTACACAGAAGTACTGTTATAAGTCAACTTATTCAACTGTGGGTACCTTTCTCAGGTTTTACCCCAATTCATGAATATTTAAGTAAATGCTCTTCTGGCAGTGTTACTTTTTGTGCTTATTTTTCAACAGATACTAGAGTACCAAGCTGTTTTTAGTGTATTTTACTCTAAAACACTGAATTTTTTAATAAACCTGCAATTTTTCTAAAAGTCTCAAGGCAAATCAGTTTAAAGCGTTTTTTAAACCGTTCTGTTCCAGAAATTTGCTATTTTAACAGTTACTCATAGAACTAAGTTGTGAAAAGAAAAGAAAAGTTGATGATGTATCAGGATTAATCAGTCCTTCCTTCAGAAAAACTGTATTTACTCCTGTCCTCCTGTAAAGCTTCTATTTAAAATTAAATAGAAAGATTTTTGTTTAGGTGGCAATTTAAACAGAAAAATCTCTTTTTCCTCATAAATTTACTCTTATTTAGTGATTTTGCAATTAAACGTGTATTATCCTTCAAGCAAAATGAGTAAACTATTCAACTCTGTGAATATTTGTAACTGTATCTGTGTTTTTTTTAAAAAGTTTCTAATTTTATTATGAACCTTTATAAGGAATTATCAGTGAATAAAATCCTCTTTTGGTAAATGCTCTTTGCATAAATACCCTTTTTAACTTTTAAAATGCAAGATAACAGTGTTTTATTCAGCTTTGAGGAAGTTTGTTAACTCAAAAATGCCTTTTAGAAAAATTAAAACGTTTAATTTCACTATTTAGACCTAAAAAGCGAGTGAAACCTGTCTTCTCAAGTTTCGCCAGGAGATGTCAGTATTACCTCATCAAAATTTAACTCCGACACTGTTTGTGTTGTCCACTAGGGGTGCTATAACTTCCTGTGGCGTTCGGTTGACATCCTGTTGTTAGCCGCTTAGCTTGAAGTTAGCTTCGGCTAAACTCGGTTAAAATCAACATTTCTGAACGGATTTTTTACACAAACGTGGCAAAAGTTTTGCAATCAGACTTTATAGCTTCAAACATGAGTTTTTGGAACAATATTGCAGCTTCATTTAGTGATTTTAAGCGTAGTTAAGGCCCCGGTGGTTATGCTGTTAGCTTAAAATTAGCATCGCTAGCGTTGTTTAAAAACATCATTTTATGACGAATTTTAAACTCTAACGTGGCAAAATTTCAGCGAGTATGCTTCGAAGCACTCGACCAGCGTATCAAAACCACTTTAAAGTTACTTTTCAGCTTTAAAAAGCAGATTTTATTTCCCTATGAAAACGAATTTCATTTCCGGGTGACGCGATTGACACTTCCCTCATCCAATTGGAACGTTACACACGGTCTTATCCAACCAATGACGCAGCGTAGGGGTGAGGGGAGGTGACGTCAGTCGACCTTCTCAGCAAATCAGAGCTTTCCACAGCAGCAAACAACCAACCACGAAGCGTTAGCAACCATGTTAGATGTAGCCTGAAGCATTTTCATCGCTTATCGTCTTTTAAACCATCAAAATGCACCTTCACTGCTAAAAATGTAACGAGTCAACCCCCTGAGCTGCACGGAGACGGCGCTCCGTGACAAAACGTCTTTCTAGCTATTTAACAACTCGTTCGAACTGTTCCAGAACCGATTCGGCACCAGAACCGAACCGGACCAGAACAGCGTCTGGAACACAGTTTAAACAGAATAAAGCGTTTCCACAGCTCAAAGCCAGCTTATGTTACACATACAGACGTACAATTTCAGCTTTAAAAAGACCCATGACTCAATTCTAGCTCTTAAAACATCGCCAGCGTAACACAAGCGCGCAGCTCCACGCGCGCTGCGTAAATACGCACAGTTGATCAACTGTTATTTTACAACACATGCCAACATGAAAATCAATTAGTACACGAGTTACAGTCCATTTATGAGCACGTGACGGGCCACCAGTTGTAGATGAACAGATGCTGGGATATATTCATCATTTAACACGGATTCCTCATTTTTCTGGACTGAATAAAACGTGCATTGAATTTAAGGAAATGTAACGTGAGACGTCATTTATGTTTGACCCATCAAAATGAATGCGGTCATTTATTTACAGAATCAAAGTTTAACATCAAACATTTACATTAATTTGGCAAATTATGAAAATAACAACATAAGCAATCAATCAGAAAAACCATACGGCCATGATTTTTCCGTTGCTGCACCACAGACATTTATAAACTGTACAATTATGATCTTTTACCCACATGAATGTGGGTGAGCATTTTACACAGACATTTCTAAAATATCTGGAAGAATTTCTACTTGATAGAAAAGTTTAAAGATGGAAAGAAGTTTAGAGGGAGTAAGATGGTGGGTGAGGGAAATTAAGTGTTCACCAGAATCGACACTCTCCGGCTTTCTTCAGCTTTTCTTTACAGTACACTTAGGTGATGAAATCGGCTCCTTTACCTGGAGATGTCTCAGGTGAGATTCCGTTTAACGCACCCTTTCAGCGTCTCAGTAGGATGCTGTTACTCGTCCGAAGTAATGGCGAGGCTCTGTTCGACACATATTCACCTCAGTGGAAAATGTTATAATCCCATGGAACTCGGAAGAGCTTTGTTGTCATGTCAGTAACATCCACATCAAACAGCATCCGAGCAGAGACATGAACAGAACTGGTTGGACTGCACTCCATCAGAACTCCATCAGCACTCCATCAGAACTCAGCAGAACTTGTGTAGTTTACAGAACTCCCACAGAACTGACTAGACCAGGAAGTACTGACATTTTAAAGACTTTCCCGGTTCACTTTTGGGATTTGTTCATTGGTCAGAAACGACCAGACGGGGTGTGTTTTGTGACGTAAGAGGTTAGAGACAGCGAGAATTGTTATGAAACAGATCAGAAATGTTCTCACAGACAGAGAGAGTTTTGTTTTGGCGCGTTTCAAAAACAGGTGCACAAAACATCTATATTTACGTCTGAGAGGATTCTAAAAACATGACAGTTTTAACATAACAACTTGTTTTTCGTTTGACTCCAACCTTGGAAACGCACACTTGCTCACTCAAAGGCAGAAATCAAAAAATGCATAATTATTCTGTAACAGCTTTGACATGAGAATAAAAATCATTACTCAGTTAATAAAATTGATTAGTTCACTGCAACATCTAAAATGGTTTGAACTAAGGCACTTTGATTATCAACATTTGAACAATAGTAATGATAATAAAACAGAGAGTGTTCTTTTCACTTGAATCTTCAAGAGAGAAAGTCTCAGGATGGGTGAACCTGCACTTCTGGAATCAAATCAATGAAATGACAGTTCCTGTCCCACAAGGTCCTAAAGGTCAAGAGTTTTGACCTAAGACTCAGTTTTTGACATGGGCCTAGTCCACTACAACTTGACTATGGCAATGTTGTTTATATGTGCTTCAAGCAGTTGTCTACAGTCATTGAATCCAGTGTACCCACTGTGCATTAAGATTTATTACTGGTTGTAGCCACCTTACTCATCATTTTGATCTCTATCTTCAAACCTGTATGTCTTCCCTGTTTAACAGGCGACATGTGAGTTGGATGACTTTGGTTTATAAGTCTCTTATTGGCTTGCTTCCACATTATTTATGTACTTTTATACGAAGAATGGACAGTAGTTGTACCTTACGCTCTAAGGACTGTCTGCATCTTCATGTTCCTCGTGTGCGAACAGAAAAGGGCAAGAAAGCTTTTAGCTTTTCTGCCCTTTCAGCTTGGAATGCCTTGCAAGCTGAATTAAAACTGACAGAACTTGTTACTTTGAGTGCTTTTTGCAAACTTTTATAAAACCGACAAAGGATATCTTGTCAACAGTGTCTGTGTTTTAGATCTTAAATTGTAATTGTTTTAAATAATTATTGCCATTTACTGTTATACTGTATGTTTTATATGTTTATGTATTTCTGAAGTCTTCATAATCTTGCTACTTGTTTTGTTTTTTATGACGTGTGCTGCTGCTGCCTGTTCTTGGCCAAGTCACCCTTGTGAAAGAAGTCTTGATCTCAATGGGTTTTTATCTGGTTAAATAAAGGTGGAATAAAAATAAAAAAAAATGTGTGTGTAATATGTATATATATATATATATATATATATATATATATGTGTGTGTGTGTGTGTGTGTGTGTGTGTGTGTGTAATATGTATGTATGTCTGTATATATATATATGTATATACAGCACCTTTTGTATTGGTCAGTTTATTTTGATAGAATGGCCTATGTCCGATATTTAACTGTATCACTAATATTGGCTGATACCATGCTAATATAAGTGCATCCCTAGTTTTTAGAGTCACAGAGGAGTATTTTATTTTTCAGCTCTTCTTCCTGGTTTCTTTTTCCTTTTTGAACAGAACTTCAAAAATCACCTTACTATGCACGCCACCTGCATTTAACATTCAACGCCAGTGTCTCAGTCCACTAACTGCCTGCTCAGCTGACCATCAAACTGTCCTTTTTTTGCTTCCTTGGCTCATCCTACCTTGTTTGCTCACCTCCACCACCCTCCCCCCACCCCTCATCTATCTCTCTGTATTCCAGCTGCTACAGTCCCGGAGCAGAAGACCGTCACGCTGGATGTGGATGTCAATAATCGCAGTGACCGAACTGAATGGTGCAGTTGTTATTATCACGGCAACTTCTCTCTTAATGCTGCTTTTGAGATCAAGCTGCACTGGATGGCCGTCACTGCTGCAGTGCTTTTCGAGATGGTACGTTCAACACCTTTTTAAAACCGTATTTAATTGTTTTTTCAAACATAAAATACTTGTTTTGCTTACTATCGTCAAGCATTGGTGGTCATCATATAACCTGTGTGAAGTTGGGGTGCAGAACAAAATCGATTAATCAGGGTGTCAAACTCACTTACAAAAGGGGGCCAAAATTAAAACCTTTTTCAAACTAAGGGTCACTTTCAGAATCTACATTAACTCAAGTTAGATATCCAACATCTTTTCTTGGTTGCAGGTTCTTATACGAGTTTGATTGGTCTCATTTGATCTTCTCTGTTGCACTTTTGACATCTTAATCAAAGAGTACTGAAAAAATGCAAGTGATAAAAGTATTTTTTGTTTAACATATCATCTTGGGGGCCAGGGACACATTTGGCCCCCGGGCCTTGAGTTTGACACGTGCATTAAAGGATCTAGAGTCCTAGTCCTAGAGATTCTGAATCGATTCTAAAGGCCCACAAATAGATTTTAAAATGTGTTTAAGTTCTATTTTATATATGTGCAGCCCTTTAAGGCTAGTGGCTAGTAGGTTAGTGGGCTTATCCCTGCGCGCAACACTAAAAACTTTAGTCCACGCTCACCTGCTGTGTTGGCCCCACCCCTGATCAGTATAAGCTGCCTTGAGACCGGGGTTCAGCTCCCTTCTTTCTTCAGCCATCAAGCAGCATAAAGAAAACTAAAGATCAGAAGATGATGACCAGCAGTGATTCACCTGTGCCCAGTCTGCAGGACGGGATAAATCCTCAACTCTGATCTACAGGTCCTTCTCAAAAAATTAGCATATTGTGATAAAGGTCATTATTTTCCATAATGTAATGATAAAAATTAAACTTTCATATATTTCAGATTCATTGCACACCAACTGAAATATTTC